ATATCAGTCATTCCCAATTAATAATGGGCCGTGAGCAACTTAACTGGGTCTGAAAATTATTTACTATATGCGGCCGGGTCTGTGGAAGGACTTGGCCAAACACAAAATACATTTTTTGTGGGCTTTTCAGTGTGGATACTTTTCATGGCATTTTTATTTGGCGGTATTTTTTTATAATTCAACCCTGTCATGCACAAATAATGATAACCTGTAACCCGATAACCTGATAAACTGTCCACGGGAGTAATCTTGTGTGCCTTGACTCAGCAGAGATTAGGGAACAATGCTCCATATGACTTCTTACAAGGCAGGACATAACACTTATGCATGTGTTACTGAACTATATTTGCAAGTGTGTATCAGACAATGGACGTCGTACATGTGTGTCTGCGATGGGATGGCCCGCGGTTCGGTGAACCGGAAACCTGTCAAATGAATTACTTTCATGAGCGATATTACAGAGGCTATCATCATACTTCACAACTGTTGCTGAATTGTTTGGAAACAATATGACAAGGTACATATTGTTCATGCTCCTTTCTACGCAATTATTCACTGAGGCGCTAGATTTAGTCAACTTCAATGCCAATTAATCTCCCAAAACTCTTTTGTGCGTCAACTTTAATCGGCCGCTAATTAGTGTCTTTGCAAAAAGACACTCTCAGTGGAAATATATGATTACAGAGCTTCAGCAGGCTCTGTAAACAAAGACTGTTCCCAACATGCCAAAACACTCGCGTACCAAGAGAGTGAAAAATCATTCTTTGTGTTGGATTATATGCGCGTAACCTACTATGCCGAGTTGAGTGTTTGTCTGACTGTGTAACAGACAGATGGTAGACAGCCGCCATGGTGAGAAAAATCATCATCAGAATTTGCATTTTGTTATCCCCTATTCCACGCACACGCAACTTGCTATTGATGACCTCAGACACATGCAGTAAAAGTGAAAGGTTGAAACTTGTGGATTGACTGAAAGACGGAAGAAAAGCGACATAAATAGGAACAAACAAAATTGGAGGGTACAGACCTTTTTCCTAGACTTAATTGTGTATCGCTCATCATCAGTAAGTGGAAAACTGCGATCCGGCTAAACGAGAGGACAGTTTATAGTCATTTCTTCTGGATCTAAGGGTAGATGAGATTCTATTGGAGCAACAAATTACAGACTGAAGCATCTGAGCATGTTAAATTGGATTTTGGATTACTGAAATGCCCAACATTTCCCCCCCCCCCCCTTTATAAAATATAGGGCCATGCAGGATACTTGATCTACTTTTATAGGACACGGTGGCCAATTGGTTGGCACATCTCTCTCTCTCACCTCTGAGGTTGGCGGTTTGAATCTAGGCTCTGTGTGACGTTTGCATATTCTCCCCATGCTTGTTTGGGTTTTATTTTTCTGGGTACGCTGGTCTCCTCGTGCATTCCAAAAACATGTATGCTCGGTTCACTGAAGACTCTAAATTATCTACGGGTGTTATGGTGGGTTGTTTATACAAGATATGTGCGCTACATGCGAATGGTTGACCAGTCAAAGAAGTATCGCGCCTCTCTCTTCTTTTCTGCTGCTTGTGTTTAATTCATTTGCTTTTAAATGTCTTAAATGCTTTTGTTTGTAAATGCTTTTAAATGTTTTATTTTTAATCATGTGAAGCACATTGAGGTTACCTTGTGAATGAAATATGCAATAAAGTTGCCTTGCCTTGCCTTTTTGGAGGTCAGCATAGTACAGATGATCTTTCTGTCCATTTAAAAGTCTTTTTTTTTGCTGTCTATTGTCGACGTGCCTTGCATATTTCCTTCAGTCATTCTCACTTTCCATCTAAATATGCAGTTATTTGAAAACTGTGGTAAAAATTTGAGTTGCTCACTCGGACACACGGGGAACATAATTTTTGATGATCTGATCAGAATTTATCTCATGGAATACTATCCCCAGTCACATTTTCACCCCTCTTTGCCCACATCATCCTTATTCTTTCTCCCCCTCCTCCTTTGTCTTCCTCCCCATCCTCTCAAACACGTGGCTGTTGCATGTGAGTGGTTGTCATGGTGATCAACCCAGAGGGACTCATCCCAAAAGCAAAAGTTCTGATTGTCAGAAATAGAACTGTCTCCGGGGGAAAGGGGTTAATTTGGCACTGGGAGGGGATGTGGGGTGGGGGGGGGGAGGGATGTGGTGATAGAGATGAGTCTAGTTGGAGGGGGGGGGGGGGCGTTAACAGATAACAGAAGAGAACAAGGCAACATCCACTCCAAGTGGGTCACATCGCAGGAGCATTGCGTAAGCATAAACACTGCTGTCCCTGTGCAGCGTCCTTACTTTGCGCAGACACACACACCTGCACACACATCCACGATTTGCAAAGAGCTTACTGTTTGTGAATCAGCCCCTTTCAAACAGCCCCTAGTGTTTGTTTCACATACTGAATGGTTCCATGCTGTTGTCCACCTTGTTCATCTCATGTCCCTTCCTCTCAGTGGATTTGTTATATTGTGACAACCTGTGGAATGGATCCTCCTCACTGTTGGCTGCAAGGAAGGATGACAGCATGATATAGCAACTATTCCCTCCTGCAAACCCCGAAAACACATAACAGCATGTGACTGACGAATAGACTTCTCGAAAATCAGTGGACACTTCATGAGGTACAAATTCTGCCTTTGCAAAGACATTCAGGCATTCATGTAAAAATGTCTTCATTGTTGTGATCCTTGTTTATGGTTGTGGTGGAAGGTGGCAAGTTATTCTAATTTCATTTTTTTGTCACCATCATGTAAACATTAATAACTCTACAATGTTGTAGTTACCATTTCAATCATAACTGTCATAAATGTATACAGAAATTTTTTCAACATACAAAAACAAAACAGGCCGTGATCGTATTGTGGTTAGTACCCCGCGTTGTGGCCGCAGCAATCCTGGTTCGAATCCTGGTCACGGCATGTACAAAGAGCATACTTAACTTCTGGGTGGCCCGGTGGTCCAGTGGTTGGCGCGTCGACCTCACAGTGCAGAGGTCGTGGGTTCGATCGGCCTTCCTGTGTGGAGTTTGCATGTTCTGCCCGGGCCTGCGTGGGTTTTCTCCGGGTACTCCGGTTTCCTCCCACATTCCAAAAACATGCATGGCAGGCTGATTGAACACTCTAAATTGTCCCGAGGTGTGAGTGTGAGCACGGATGATTGTTCGTCTTTGTGTGCCGTGTGATTGGCTGGCAAATGGTTCAGGGTGTCCCCCGCCTGGCATCTGGAAAATCATGTGACCGCTTAAAGCCAATCAGTGTCCGCAATGGAGAAAAGTGGAAAGATCTTAAGTTGACCAGACTGTTTCTATACGGCGCCGGTCTGAACAAAACTTTACGATGGAGGGGTAATTATTATATACCAATGCTCACATGTCCAGGTATATATTCTTTATCCTCAGTGAAAATTGACGATTATGACTGCAGCTTACTGAGGAGTTGTGACCGTGTCCTCCATATCCATGTATATCCGTATTATTTACTGCCCCCAAGTGGCCAGGGTGGACATACGAGAAGGATTGTTTCATCATGATGCACAAACTGCTTCATTTTTACATTATATTTAATTACGTTATCAATATTGTTTTTGTACACTATTATTCAGCGGGAAGGATGTTTTGAGATGGTAAGATAATAATTTGAGATTCGAGATAAGCATTTTCACGGAGTGAATTAAACTCATTTTTCAAGGTGCCACTTGAGAGAGAAGAAAGAGCTTAGTGACAAGTCATCGTTGCAGAAACTGAGACACAAAATGCTGCCGCACCGTATCTGAGTGTCGGAGGCCGGACAGACAGCTATGTTGTTTTTACTTACTTCTGTGACCTACTGTTGTCTCAAGTGTCATCACTCATCGTGGCTGTTTCCTATTGATCCGTGTTTACTGGTTTGTTGGTTGCTTTCCGCTTCTTCGCGGTTTCTAAATGAGCTAACTGTGACCATTTGCTTAATTGAAGTCCAAAGACCTCAGTTGTTAAAACAATGACTAAAATTTCTATAGCTAGAAATGTCACCAAACAATCAATTATGAAGCTAAGAGAAGATGGAAAATCAGTTACAGCCATTTCCCAAACATTGGCTATAGCAAAGCCATTTTGAATGTTATGAATAAGCATTAATTGCTCAACCAATAAATTAGTTATTCAGGGGCAAAAGGTGGAAGGTTGAAGACTAATCAAGTCAATCTGCAGATTTAAATTGTCCTTGTTGAAGAGGAGACTGTAACCCCCTAAAAAAATACAAGTAGGTGACGTTGTGGTGAAACCAGAAAAAGAATGCAAACATTTGTCCATGTCTGTCGATCACACCAATATTATCTTCAACATTTCAGAAGTTACAGCTCGTCACTCTCACGTTATAATCTAAAGCACAAACAAGGTAGTTGCTTCAACAGGTGATTGTTTAGCTCATCTCTTTTCCACCCTCCACACGTCGCTTATACCACACTGTAGTCAGGCACTCATACATGTGTTTGCATCAACACGTATGTAAATAAACACAGCTGTGACGCTGCCTGAATATGCACAGAGTTTTAACACACTCCATTATATATGGTTGTGTGTGCATGTATAGGCAGAGGGTGTGAGTGTAAAAAGGAGCAGCCAAAGCCAGTTGTTGGACGGTTTCAAATTCCCCTTTGCACTGACAGAGGAGGGAGGACTTGTGTGCGTGTGTGCGCGTGCTTGCTTGCTCGCGTGCGTGTGCTTGTGTGTGCATCAGGAGAGCCTTTCCAATCAGGGTAGAAATGACAAACAGACAGACCGACTGACTGACAGACAGACAGACAGACCTCAGAAATGTAAATCAGAGGGGGAAAGACAGACAGGACAGGGAGAGCAAGGGGTGGTGCTTAGTTGAACAGGCGTGGCTTTCCTGGTGTCACTCATCCGCCTTTGCCTCGGCGAGTGGGCGGTCCTGCGAGATGCGGCGTCCAATAGGAGAGGACGCTGCTCGTGTCGCCATGGTGACGGGGCTGTGCCCAAGGAGGTTGTGATGGGTTGACAGGTGCGTGACAATCGGAGCTCTCTGCAAGCATGTACGCCAAAGGCAAGAGTAGCAACGTGCCGTCCGACAGCCAAGCCAGAGAAAAGTAAGTTTTCTTCATGGGGGAGGAAACGGAGGCTGATGGAGGAGAGGGGCGGGGAGGGACGTGTGTGTGCAGCCGCGCGCAGACAGTCACACACGGAGCCCCGGCATGCAGCTCTCTGCTCAGGCTTGGAAAGTTGACCATTTGCTTTATTCCAGGAAAAACTGACACTTTGGGCGTCTTCTTTTTTTTTTGTTTGTTTTTTTTTTTTGCTTGACTTTTGACAGCATAGGGTAGAATTCAATACGCGGTTTTCTGGTTCGTATTGTGTGCTAATTATGAACTTGTGAATCGCTTTTACGCACGCTTTGAAATGCTGGCTGATAACAGTGCAATCCAACGTGCGAAAGAGAAACTACCGGTAGTCAGTGCGTGGATGCACATGGAGGAAGTGCGCGTATTCGTTTGCTTTATGCACGGGTGCTTGTAATTCACCAAAGTGTGTTTTCAAGATTTACGTAGTTTTTTTTCGCTGAAAGTGCATGTTTTTTTGATCACACGTAATCGAACTAAATGAGTGTGCTTGTGGGGAACAAAAAAAAAAACATGTCGTTCCACGTACTTAACGTTTTTATTAACTCTCCACCAATGTTTTTCTTCTAATATGAACACGTTAAATAGATTGTTTTGCTTTTATTTACTGGTGTAAATGTATGACTGCTTTCTGTTGTCAGAAAAGCTTAACACTTTCTTTTTAAGGGCTTAATTGTTTTCCAAATAAAACCTTGTGAGTGGTTGGCCAGTGCACTTCTGTCAGCACCTTTGTACTTTAATGTCTTACCCTTACATGCTTGATTCCCTTATATAATTTATTTATTACCTCAATTTAAAATTTCAGCACCGCAATTCACATACGTTTGGGGGGGGGACATCAGAATTATGGGGTTTTACCTTATTGATTGCTGCCTTGCTCAAGAGAACCACTAAAACTGGCTTCTCCCCTCCCTCCAATGTGATTGAACTGAGCACAACTATTGCGGTCAGGTCACAGGGTCAGTACACTGTAAAAAACGATTTTGGAAAGAGGTAAAAAGAATCCACGAAAATCATCTAAAATCGACCTCAGTCATTGAGGGAAGTTTACCTCACATTTCTGGTTACATTTGTTTACTGTCGACAGATACTGCAATATGTGCATGGGTTATCACACAAGGCATCAGTGCCACATGGCTCAAGTGGTAAAGTGGTCAACTCCCAACTTTAAGGTTGAGGGTCTGTTTCGCTGCATTGCCTCTAACTTTTAGCAAGAGTTATCCGGTGTCATGTGTCGAATTTATTTGATATTTTCAATTTGTATTTTTGTCAACCTCTAAGTATTGCATTTGTGTTGGGCAATTCATTGCTGAAAATGATCTTTTTTTTTTGCCTTTCTTGAGCTGTTTTGCCAACATGGTGATTGGGCGCTCATTTCCTTCGTTTGAGTTGCTGTTCTTCATACCTAAGCGATATGAAAAGCAGAACATTTAACACGACAGTGCGAAACAACCGAGTTTAAAGAATACAAAATAAGTGCAATGGAGAAAAGAAAAGTCAGCAAGTGGTTCAAATTGTTGGCAACATCAACAAATTTTGTAGTTCGGAGCATATGAACATGTCAACGCAGCTGAATGACCAGTTAGTCCATAAACTATTGACTGTCCATTCAGAGTCTCTTGAAGTTGTGTCAGTGCAGTTACTGAGACGCTAATTTTATCATCATGGGGAATCCATTCCGTTTCTCACACTCGGGCGCTGTAGTCGCAAATGTTCCTGCACCATATTGAACTTTTTATTTTTTAAGTGTCATTTTTATTGCAGGCCACAAAGGAGACAAGTGCTTAGCGCATGCTCACAGTTCTGATGTTGAGGTTTCCAATCTTGGCTTCGGTCTTCCTGAGTGGAGCTTTCATATTCTTTGCATACCCTGCGTGGGTTTTCTGCGGGTGTTCCTCCCACATTTCCAAAACATATTTCTGAGTTTAATGGAGGACTGTAAATTGTCTGTACGTGTGAATGTTTGTGTATCTGTAATCTGAACGTGTCATGTGAATGAATGGCGACCAGTCCAGGGTGTAGCCTTCCTCTCACCCAAAGTCCCGCTCACCCACGCGCCTAAACGAGGAGAAGTGCTTTTGAAAAAGAAAGGATGGATAATTAACCCTTTCATGCACCAAAAATGATAACCTGTAACCTGATAACATGATAAACTGCCCACTGTAGTAAACGCTGTCCCTGAAAGGGTGAACAAATATTTTCAACTTTCTTTCCTGATTGGTTGAAAAATGTCATGCTTCTATTACCTTATAAGAAGGAGTGTTCCTTGAAACTTGGGATACCAAATGCGGTCTTCATAAAAAGATTTGTGTCAGTGTTAATAAAATAAAAAAATAAAAAATAAAAGCGTATTTATTTTAATGGAGGCACAGCATTGTATATAGAGGGGCCCCCGTCTTGGCTTTCCAAACAGTTTTACCTTTTGTATCACATACTTTCAGTATGTTGTGGTCTAGACTGAGAGTGAATAAGCTCTTGCAAACTTAGCTTCTTAATTTTACTGTACAATTTGCACTTATCTGTGCACAAAAGGGAAGGTTTATCTTGTGCGCCAGTACCAAAGCTGAGACAAAATACAGGACCGTCTGACAAGATGGAAACGCTGCGAAAGGCAAAAGGCAGGCAAGGGCGAGATTAATTTCGTTCTTAACAAGCTGCCTTGTTTATCAGCGGCGTGTATCAGAGAGGCAGAGCGGGTCCGACTGCTGCTGCCGAGCCGTTGTTTCTCATTTCTGCGGCACAGCGGGCCATCAAAAAGCGAGCGAGGGCGACAACAGATTAGAGAGGGAGAGAGCGGGGAGAGGAATGAGCTCGGGTGATGGAATTTGCTGGATCATTAGTTCATTGGTTGTAGTGTTGACCTCGGGATGGACCCGTGCAGACTTACATACATGCGTTTGGAAATCTAAATGTGTTTGACCTCCGTACAACTGCTCATCTGATGTGTCCCGCGTGTCCTTGCTGCACATGCCCATAAAATGTGTCTTTAAAATAACTCTCAGTGCGCCTGGGATTTGGGAATCAACTAAAGGCGTTTTGTCTTTCTCCACAAATGTTTTCCACATTAGTCTTTTTAATCGCCACAAATATCAGCAAGCCTCTTTGTTCCGGATAACAAAACAAAGACTTGACAAAAGAACAACATCCACAGCCACTATTAAAACTATATGTCGTCATTGCCCCCAAATGACCTTTATTTGAGTGATATGTGCTTGTTAGTGAACCAGATGATGACGGCCACAACAAAGGTGGCAACAGATGACGTGCACGTAGCTCTGATCAGCGACGCCATTAAAACTGGCCATAAATCCTCAATTTATGAGGATCATAATGTTCAGTTTTTATTGGAGAGAGGTGTTGATTTATTTTAGTGCTCTTTTAGGAGGTTGCGATTTGCTGTAGAACTGCGCACGGTAATACCGGAAGGTGTTCCTAATATTGTGTAAGTGCCTTAAAGCGGTGATCAGAGTGCAGCCGTGAGCGTCTACCCTTTCATAAACATGGAACTCAAAGATTTGGGCTTAATTGACAGGTGGCTGTCAAGTCCTCATTGGCTGCTATGGCAACCAGGTGCGGACTTTAACCTCGGCGTCACTGTGATTACGCCGGCGGTGTCTTCCTCCTACTCTCACATGATACGTATGCATTTCAAGACTCAGCATTTATTTTCTGGGAATGTAGGGAAAATATTGAAACATGCAAAGCAAACAAAAACAATCTGAATATGGATTTGCATAGAAAAAGTTGCACGCAAATCTTTTATGACATACTCCGCGGAAACAAAATCCCTGCAGAGTAGTCGTAATAGTTGTTGTTGCGATTTGTGACTTCCAACTTGTCCAGTTAGAAAAAAAAATTGCCCCTTTTGAAGGGGTAATCAAATATTAATACATTAGAGTCAAACATAATTTATTCAGATGAACCAGCCACAACTGAAAATCCACGATAATGAGAGATCATACAAAACACTATTTTAGAGAGTTTCATCCCTCCCACACATTTTTAACACATTCAAACTCATTAAAACACACTTTTTACACACACACACACACACACACACACACACACACACACACACACACACACACACACACACACACTCACTCAAATTGGCAAGAATAAAATGTATTGAAAATATGACTGTAATATCGGTGCGTTAGATATGTCTCTTTAAGGGGCAAGGCCTGATGGGAAGTCGTTACATGGCGAACTGGAGGAAGGGTGGTTGAATGGCTCAAGCTATCGAATCTGCGTGTGAGTGTTTGATCGTGAGCTGTGGCTGACAGCAGCTCCCGCCTGCTAATTGTGTTTGTTGTGTAGAAAAGAGCTAGTGTGGCGAAATACTTTACATAGTTTCTCCCAAGTCAGCAACCAGCACTTCCGTGGCAGCACTAAACTGCACTTCTGACAAGTCTGGCTCCCACGAAGGTCTGATGAGACATAAAGTAAACAGAAGGTGGAGAAGCCGTGCTAATTGCTCAGCAATAAGTGACATAAAAATGTGAAACACTGGAATTAAGTGCTTGGGTGATCCGGTACTCTTTTGACACAAGTCTGGCTGGAACTGCGTTAAAAGTGAGCGTATCCTGCTTTGAACAGCAAAATAGCAGGCACATTCATAATGTTTGGACTCTGGAGAGAAAGTCATACTTGCGAAAGAGAACGGGAAATAAATTAAGTTACATTACGGTGTGTGTCAGCCAGGAGGTGTGGCCTATAACGCTAAAAGTATATTAAGATCATTATTGACAATTTAAAACACCAGTAATGTTATTTGTTTTCACAATACCGTCCTAATTTAATTAATTTGACTTTTGCCACTTTTCCATTTGTCCCAAACGGGCCCACATCACAACTGGCCACCGTCAAGAGAAAAATCCTGAATACAGCACATGTATTTTGTGTCTGATAACAGTATTGAACTGTGTTTATAATTTCATATGTACCCTGGATGAAACCGTGCGATTGGG